GGCAGGCAGCCATGGGCAGAGCTGCCTGCACGGGCAGGGCGTGCAAAGCCTGGTCTCACCTCATTTGGCTTTCCCCATGCTCCTGCCACACAAAAAATAGGGCAGCAAACACTGGCATGGACAGTGGCTTCAGGAGTTTCCGGCTTGGAGACCATCAGTGGGTCTCCTGCGAGGGATGAGCCATGGTTTTTGGGTCTGGGGGGAGCCAGGCTTCCGGCACAGCAGGAAATCCCTGCCACCTTCATAGCGGTTGTGGGGAGCAGGGTGGTTTTCAGGGCCTCAGAGGGGCTGAGCTGTGACTACATGCTCTGTCCCCTCAGAGTGGAGGCCTGCGGTGGTCCTGGCCGCCATCGACTGCGCTGACGAGGCCAACCAACAAGTGTGTCTCGATTTTGGGATAACCGGCTTCCCCACGCTGAAGGTAAGAGCTGTGTGTGCTGGGTACTTGCCTGGTTTTGATATGCTTTGCCTTTCGGCCTGTTCAATTACATTGACAGTGCTATTGCACTGAAATATTCCCTTGGAGGCTTTGCGGGCTGGAGCTGTTTCACCCTTCCCCAAAACATAACTGTGGCCTGGCTGCAGCCGGTGCAACTGCTGGGTGATGTAGCAACAAAGAGGGGAAAAAACAAAATGCTGCTTTGTGGTGAAATGTAGAGGCCAGATCTCTCCTAGGAAGGGAGGGGGTCTGAAACCTGAACTGGAAATGCCTGGGAAAGGCTGCTGGAGGGCAGAGCGTGGCTGCAAGTGCAGGTTTTGGAGGAGGGCCTGGGGATGCTGCGGGAGGCTGCACGGGGCTCTCCGGGGAGCCTCCTGCGGTGGCTGGCGAGGTGCCGGCCCTCCTCCTGGGCCTGTGCCCGGCCTCTTAGCTGTGTCAATACACTGTTCTGCAGCATTTCCCACTGCAGACAGAGCCTCGCTCCAACATAAGCAATAAAACTGAAGCGCTTCAGGTGCAGGCTATAGGAGCCAGGATTGCCCTGAAACAGAACCAGGGGCATAAGGGTTTCATCAAATGTGTCAGTCCAGGCTTAAAGGCTCAGCCCAAGGTAAGGTTAGATCTGGGGGCTTGCCAGGCAGATTGTCTTGTGCCCCAGGACTGCCTCGAGGTCTCACCCAGCACCTACTGCCCGAGCACTCGCTGCCTGTGAGCATTGATTGAAACATCTCCTGGGGCAGGGAGCTGTGCTGATGTGTGCCAAGAAGTCACTTGCTTCGTCTCCCTTGTCCTCACCAAACACCTTTTGCAAACAGCCCGTGCTCCCAGCCCACCCTGCAAAGCAAACAACTGTCTGACGCAACCTGGTTTTTCTGCTCTGCCTGAACCCTGGGCACTGGAGCTACTGTGGGAAGCCAGGAGTGGGGAAAAAAACCCTTCTCCCACTTTGTGAGACCCCTGGAGCTGGCAGACAACAGGCTGCAGGGCTGGGAACGTGCCTACCCTGCTGCCTGCCAGCACTGAGCCCTTGGCTGGACGTGGCTCCCAGCCCACGCCTGTATCCACACCCTCTGGGGATGTCCTGCAAGATGAGGACACAGCCAAGAGCTCCCTCTGCAGTGCCCTCCAGCTGGTGTCAGCCAGAGTGCAGTAATGTGAGGAAACTGAGGCAGAGCTGGTCCAGGGGGAGCCTCTGGCTGCTGGGCTGCATTGCGTCCCTGTTCCACTCCAAACTCTCACTCCAGTGTATTTTTTTTTCCCCTTTTCAGTTCTTCAGAGCTTTTAGCAAGAAGGCAGAGGATGGGATAAGGATTACCAGTGAGTACCCAGAGCCACAGGGTGTTTTTTACCCAGGGTGTGAACAGCCATGCTGCCTGCACCCGACATGCATGGGTGACCTCTTGGCTGAGCCCATGGGACTGGCTTCCCCAGGACTGACCTGTTGGCGTTCTGTCCCCCTGCAGAAATGAGCAGCACCGTTGAGGATCTGCGCCATGCCATTATCACCAACCTTGAGCAGAGCCTGGATGCCTGGCCACCCGCCTGCCCTCCACTGGAGCCGGCAAGGTAGGGGGGGCAAGATGGGGGGTGGCTTTGGTGGCCTTCATCTCATGGAGTGCAGGTTTCTAGGGAGCTCCTGAGCCAAAAATGAGCATGGAGCAGCTGCGGCATCACCCACGTCCCAGGGAGACACGGATGACCTGGCCAGGCTAGGGCTATTGACGTGGGCCGGATGACATAGGCCATGTTGTTGCATCTCCTAATGAACCTGCTCATCAGCTTTAATTAGAACAAGTGGCAGCTGGGCCGGGCACATGGGACGGGCG